CACTGTATATGAGAGATATCTAGTTTTGTTGTCTAATGATTTTTTTAAAATAATAATTATTACATTACATTATGATTAATTTTGACGTTGATTTAAAAAGGATTAAGAATGATTGCAGTCCTAAAACGGTGGAATTAGCGTATATGAATTGCAGGTTTATGTATGTGTAGGACACAATTCTTCTTTCCTTGAACGGCTTTTGCAGCTTTGTTAGACTCTTTGCCCCACGCGCACTCTTGGCCGGAGTTTTGGCATTTAACACTTCGTCTCCTTGTGAATCAAATGCTTAATGGCTTAATCAAAGAACAGTGGAGCATAGTTTTATCAGATATGTAGCCCACCTAACATAAGATTAGGGACATGAACGGGTCTTATATTTAATCTTAATGGAAAATGCTATGGACGTGTAAATTAGTGGTCTTATATTTAATCTTTATGGCACTCTTGTAGTGTGTATGTGATAAATTCCCCTTTCGCTTGTAATTTTCAAAAATATATATGGGATTAGTGACTGTTGAGACCTGTGTCCATTGTCATGTTGAACCTCTTTGTCCATTATCGATTGATTTTAAGTTAGATGTTCAAATTTTATGAATAAATTTGTATCTAGTATTTATTGGCTTTTTAAGAATAAGTACAAGAAGAAAACAAATTATTTCAATTTCCGACTTCTTCCACGTGTGTTAATACATAAGGAATTAAAAAACCATTTCAATTTCACTTTAAAATATGTAATTGAATAACATCAAACCAGAAATTTTTATTTAGAAAGAACATCAAACCCAAATTGAATCAACTAGAAAGAGAATAGTTGATCCAATTCTAATTTCTTACGACTCTTTCTATATTCCTAAATTCCCCAATTTCTTACTTTATTCATTTCAATTAAATAAACCTGCCAATAAAGCATTAAAGTGTCATATGAATAGACTCAATCAAAAATATATTTTAGTGAGAGACCCCTTTTCTTTTTGGTTGATTATGTAATTTTTTAAAATGGAAGGATTGGATTGGAGCCTTCATCTAAACCAGAAATGACATCATGTACGTACGCAAGCACAAGGTGATGAGCTAAGCTGTCTGTGCCACAGCTCAACAAGTGTTCACCATGCAAAGCAGCATGCAAAACCAGCACGCAAGCAGAGGTAGACCAACGGCCATCCTCGTCATCTTCTTCTGTGTATCCATTTATTCTTATAAAAATGTTGAAAAATACACAACTACTTAACCGCTCGATCGACAAGGCGAATTTCTACAAAAATCTAAAATAAAATGTTATTGACGAGAACGAATTATCAACAAGCGCCCATGGCCTAATGGATAAGGCGTCTGACTTCTAATCAGGCGATTGTGGGTTCGAGTCCCACTGGGCGTGCAAATCAATATTTTTCCTTTTTTTATTTTTTATTTTTTCAAACGATAACTGTTTTTCTTTTCTCCTTATAATATTGTAGAAGCCCAACAAGCCCCAATCTTTAATGCTCCCAAATTATGAAATCAGTTAACACATATTAAGGACTTGAAAGCTCGGTTTACTGTGGGTGAGGGAGAAACACTTGTGTGGAACGGAGATAACACTCTGTTGCTATCCACGGCCAATCGCGACATGCCACGCATGATAATTTTCCACATAGCCATCTGTGATTGGTTGGAAATAGCAAAGTAATGCTATCCTCGTTTCATACAAGTTTTTCTGATGAGGGAGGGAACAAAAGAGGAATTTAGCAACGTTGAAGTTCAAATCATTTAATCATTAATTATTGCATTTGCTTTAACCTACTAGTATACAAAGTCTTGTCAAATTCAAAAGCCTGCATTACATGAGGAAAAAGAGAATCATCAAAGTACTAAAAACAGAGTCTACCCAGGAAATTAATGAACATGCCACACTACTGTAACAACTTTGTTAAAAATCAGTCTTTTCCATCCACATTCTTGTTGCCTCCAGGTCAAAGTGCCTCAGAAAAACGCAACTCAGCAGGGCCAGGACCCAAAATCCCTTTTTGTTCACTAATCTTGCCCAGGCCAGGAGGTGGCTCTACCGGTACGCTCTTTTCATCATCTCTCCAGACAGTCGTCACTGGCACTTGCCACTCTCTCTAAAGTATCAAAAGAAAACCAGAAAAAATAAAATTAGAGTAGTAGTCCAATCATATAAATAAGAAAATTCAAGCCAAGCAAGCACAGATATAAAAAGTAAAAAAGAAAGGAAGGAAAGAAAAAAGCACTGAAGAGCACCACAATACGAGGTTTCCATCATAACTATTAATATCAAATCTACCTTAAAACAAGCTGATTATTAGGATTAAAATTGTTGATTTTTCAGTGACTAGAAGACTAGTCATGCTTCGTGGGCCCAATTTCAATGTATTTTTAGCAAATTTTAAAATACTTGCCTCATCCTGAATGTAAGTTACATCATGCAGCAATGGTGTCGTAAGTGGGGGAGCAACATCAGGGTCTGGCTTTTGAAATATAAATGTGGTATACAGACCTGCAAAAGGAAAATGCCCAACAAATGGGAAACTATACATAGAGCAAGTTGCAAAAGACAACATTGTAGAAACAAATGGCAACAAATGCATTACCTAACACATCATATGATCGAGGAAGAAGCCTTCCTCTAGGATCCACAAGGTTTGGACCAAAATTCATTATCATGCCTGCAAATTGTGCTCTTACAGAGAAAAGTGAAATAGGAAAGAAGAAAAATCAGCCATGATAAGTTTAAACAAACTTGTGCAAAATGAATAGAAAATAATAACTATGGTTTTAAGGTTTTATTCACAGGAATTTATTTTTTTCTTGAAAAATACACTGGAGTCATGCTTGTGAAAAATTTAACAAGAAAACAAAAATTCAAAACCTGTTGTCATCATAAAATTCTGTTAAGTTTTGAATCTCCACATACTCCAGACCAGCTTCTCTGGCTAACCTGAAAAACTTACAACAGAAACGGATAATCAAGATCAATTGAAAATCACCATTAAGGCATTAAACAAGTAAAAGACAACCAATCAAAGGGAGCATGTGTGTGCCACGAAGCAAAGGAGTTGGTTAAATGGTGCTATGGTTGAAACCCATATTCACTTGATAGTCAAACATACCATTCCTACTCTGGCGTAAATTTTAAATTTTCAAATATCCATTCACTTAAGAGGCACGATTATGGTTAATTAATTTCAAACCAAAGAAGAAGTATCAGTCAGAAAACCATCTTAAAATAAGGAACCTCCATGTGTGAAGCTTTAAAAAAGAGGGAATCTTGTAATGCCAGAAAGTACTATGTATGCCACACTAAGAAATACAACAACCTACAACCAGAATCAAAGTTTGAAAGCAAAATTATAACAGAAACAAAAATAAACCTGATGAAGCTCGGGAAATGAACCAAGCAATGAATTTCAGGAGAGATGTCATTAGCAAATTTCAGCTGGTATTTCTTTCCAAATAACGGGAACCTGAAAGTTTGAAGTATATTCATTGAGGGAAAAAGATTGAGCACCCAAAATCATCCAAGAAAACAAAAGCTAAGAGATACATGTTTAATATCTCAAACTTATACGTACTTCTCGTCCTCAACTTCAAAGGTGATCATGTAGTTCTCTGATCTAATGCAGTTGGGAACAATGTTCGGTTTCATGCCACTGCTTCTATTGTGGTATGCTTCAACATTCTTCTGGTACTTTGCCCTGTAAGAAAACATAAATGCAAATAATCTAGCAATAACTATTTCCCTGCCCCAAGGCTGAATTAGAACTATTTTGATGTTTCACATATAAGAGGGCCATGTATATCAAAACAATTCAACAAATGTTCAAATTTAACCAAATAAATAAATTTAATATATAAAATAACAAATTAAACAACAGGTCCTTTTAAAGCATATTCCATACCATATTGTAGATGAGTCAGGAGTAATACCAAAAAAATAACCCCCCGGCTTCAATAAGGATGATACGTTAAACAATAGTTTCCTTGCTCTCTCCTCAGTTTCAAAACACAGCTGCAAGTGAAAATGCTTTTAAGATTCGGAATATGCAATTCTGAAGTATCATTAAAACTAAAAAAGAAACAAGCGCACGACCATTAAAAAGAAAATCTTTAGATATATTAGAAACCTGCAAATTCTTCAAGCAGCAAACTAAATCTGCTGGGTTTGTCTGATCTTTCAGATGTATCTCTACATCCTCCTATCAAAGCAATCCACTGTCAAATAATGCAGGACTGAAAAGACAGAAAATTATCCAAAGCAACTTAAAGCAGCCAAAATTTTCAACCCATATATATAAATTTCTCATCTAGAGCTATATTTCATATCAGTTGAGTCCTGGATAAATGTCAACGAACAACAGTCATCAGATACAGTTGAAACCTGTGATTGAAATTGCACAGTACCAACTACGACAAAATTTTAATTGTTAGTTTATGGAAAAACAGTCTATGTGCGAAATCAAGAGTAACTACAGAAACAAAGGACAGAAATCAATAATTTAAGTCAGCACACTTCGTATCTGGCTAGTGACAATTTTGGGTTTCAAACGACAACAAAATCTTTACTTTCATATTTCATGGAAACTTCTTAAAGGCACTGCTAAAGAATTCATGGAGTTACATTGGTTAAATTGTCCACCAAAGTGAGTTATAAACGTCGTGAGTTGCTCAACCATATGGCTCATGAGGTCAATTGCTTTAAAGCTATAGAAATGATATCGTATATCACCAGTTCCCAAAATCGTTATCCTTTCATTCAAACCAATTCCTCTGAAGGCCTCCACTACAACAGTTATTTGGAAAATAACGAAATTGAACACGAACGAAGAGTAACACCAACAAAGACACCCAATTCATGCTAGAATAAAGCCACCTGATTCTAAATCTTCAAATAAAGGAAGCAAAAACAACAAAGACAAACAATGCAGTAAGAGTGTAAGAGTAA